TACCTTGGCGTGATCCTTATCATCTGCCCAGTTACGAGAGCCGCTGCCAGCTTATCAATCTGGAGACCCTGCGGTCTAGACGAAACGTATCCTGAGCCTTGTTCGTAGTAGACATTCTTCAGAGCAGAATCGATTGTCCCGCCGTTCTGCAGGGTATCGCCATAAATGTCCAGCCCAGAGCCCTACGGAACAATCATATGCTGCGCTTACCTCTACGCCGGACAAATTATGGGATGCATACCGCTATCGATGGCATTCAAAGGACCTTCAATAGAGTCGCCTCGATATTCGACTACGATATCCCTTGCCTTACGCTACGCCGCCGATTTACTGAGGTCTTTTCAGAAGCGACGAACAATTGAGGAAAACTTTAAGATCTTCTTTTATTATTATTATTATTAGTGTCCAGTGAGTGTTTAGTTTGTTTTATGTTTTGCTTTTACCACTTAACTTATTTAATGTTAGTCTTAAGTAAAACATCATTATGTGTGCTCCATAATGTGTGTGACGTAGAGGCAGTCTTAGCATAAGGTTATTACGAAGCGGTCGGGGTTGAGCATTCAGGTCAATTTACCTCAGGATAGCCTCGCAATCTGTCCTTCCTTGCAGGATATTGGCCACGGTTAGGGCTCTGCTTGTGTCTCTTCTAGTCCAGAGAAGTTCTAGGTCGATAAGTTGACAACGGCTTTCGTAACTGGGTAATCGAAACGGATCCTTCCAAGGCAATCTACGCAACGCAAAACGAAGAAAGCGACGTTGGACAGATTCAATTCTCTCGGCACCGTTGTTGTAGTTTGGGTTCCAAACCGCTGAACAATACTCAAGCGTCGATCGAACAAGCGAACAATAGAGAGATTTTAGACAGTAGATATCAGTGAAGTTTTTAGCTATCCTAAAAATGAACCCTAAAGTTCTTGACGCCTTATCGACAACATATGCAATGTGTTGCTTGAATGAAAGCTGCGAATCCAAGATCACACCCAAGTCTTTCACCTGATTCACGCGTTCGATTGTCGAGCCAAGCAGGTCATAGCTAAATATGATCGGTTATTGTTTTCGTGAGAACGTAATAGCGGAGCATTTGGCTGGGTTCACTACCATTCTGTTTAATCTGCACCAACTAGCGAATACATTCAGTTGACGTTGAAGAAAGTGACAGTCAGCAATGGAGCAGATTCGTAGGAAGATTTTGAGGTTATCTGCATATGATAACCGAGGAGCTTCGATGACCAGATGCACGTCGTTGAAGTACAGTATAAAAATTAACGGTCCCATGTGGCTTCCCTGAGGTATACCTGATGTGGCGAAGAAGCTAGCTGATCTGCAAACTCCTATGGCAACCTTTAGTTGCCGACCGGTAAGATATGATCGAAACGAACTCAGAAGATTATCACATACACCGAGCCTGTCGAGTTTAGCAATCGCAATAGCATGGTTCAACTTGTCGAATGCTGCGGATAGGTCTGAATAAATAACGTCCGTTTGAACCCGATCCGACATGCTTTCGGTTATATACGATGTGAGACACAGCAGATTGGTGGTTGTAGAGCGGCCGACAGTAAACCCATGTTGATCAGCACTCAAATACTGCTTGCAATGGGACAGCAACGGTTCCATAATCACTAGCTCGAATTGCTTCGAAACGGCACTTAACGATGTAATTCCTCGATAGTTATCCACAGCTCGTTTCCTTCCTTTTTGGTGGACGGGAAACATGTGCGCAAATTTCCAGCAAGATGGAAATATGCCACTGGAGAGAGACATTCGGAACAGGCGAAGAAGCGGAATTAACAAGCTAGCAATATGTCTCTTCAAAACTACAGTTGGAACTCCATCAGGTCCAGGATTGAAGGATGACTTGAGCAGAGAAATCATCTCAGCATTAACATAAATTGCACCCAGCGTTTGATCATTTACTGGAACGTTCCTGGCAGCCAGGTTAATATGGTCGTCAGTTAGTATCTCATTAGTGAATACACTGGCAAACTTTTCGGAAAAAAAGGTGGCATATATCCTGAACGGCGGCAGCAACTTCTCCGTTGAATTCCATAGACGATGGGAGGCCGGATTCCCTGCGTTGCTCGTTCACGTAGTTCCAAAAGGATTTCGGGTGTAGCTTAAGTTTGCGCTGGATGCCTCGTTGGAAACTTGCAACTTATTCACGACTGACTCGCTGGTACATGTGATTCAGCCTCACATAATGTAGCTTCAGAGAAAGCGTGCGATACTTCGTAATTCTTCACAATGCTGCTGTCTTGATTGACTTCAACCTACGTAGCTCTCTCGTCTGCCAGGGATGGTGAGACACTTTGTGGTGAGTTCTTTTTGGGACGTGTCAAGACATGTGAAAAGGTTTGCGCTGCAGCCTCAACGTCATCTGGATCAAGGATGTTCTCCCATACCATGCTAGACAATACATCTATGATGCTACGGTTGTCAGCTTTACGGAAGTCATAAGAAACCGTAGCAGGATAGTCGTCAAAATCACGCTCGAGTTTGTCCTCAACAGTGACAATTAGAGGAGGGTGATGTGGAACCAGGGTGCCTTCCATTCATTTTGACTAAAAAAATGTTTTAGGAAATTATGGAATAATACGATATTATGATGGTATTTTGTATGTGTAAGGAACAAGACAAATTTTTAAAGTTTGTGTTTGACACATAAAACCTGCAAATTTAGCTTTGACAGAGCCACAATGAGCGATTTTCCGATCGCCTCTTCGCGAAGAGTGAAGAGTGAAGAGTGGGTGAGATAAATGACAAAATCGCTTATTGCGACTCTCATGCAGCAACATTGGCTGGTATTATGTGTCAAACAAACTCCACAATCTTTTCTTGTTGCTTACACAAACAAAATATTATTATAATATCTTATTGTTCCATAATTTTATAAAACATTTTTTTAGCCAAAATGAATGGAAGGAACCCTGTGTGGAACTAGTTTAGTTAGAGCACAAGAAGCCGAGGAAATTGATGGAGCCCTGTCCTGTGTGCTCACGAAGCAGAGGTCCAAACTACGATCATTTTGGTTAACTACATGGTTATTTTGAGAAAGCGTCGCTGCGCTGTAGTTGTCGAGATTACTAATAGCTCCTGCGTGATTTTTTTTTTCTTTATTAGAGAGATTTTTAGCCATAGGCTAGTTCATCTCTTACACCCTGCGTGAAATGTAGAGCTATCAGGATCTGGGTACAGGAATCCGCTATGAGATGGACTCCACGAAACGCCTGACAGATTGAAGTCACCAAAAATGAATATCTCATCAACTGGAGTGGCACTTTCGATAACTGTGAAAACTGACCGACAGTGAGTATCGATGAGTTCATTGTCGCGGACTCGATCAGGTGGAATGTACAGATCGCATAGAAATAGTGTGCGATCACCCAAACCTGCTCCGCATAGTTCCATGAATCGTTTTCGATGGCCTTTGCCTCCAACCCGCCACGGACAGCTACAAGGACACCTTCACCAGTAAATTTACGGCTGTTGTTAGGATTCCGATCGCAACGAAAGACCTCGTAGTCAGGACCAAAGACTTGACTGGAAACCGTTCGATAATAGTTCGATTCGATAGTTCGATAATAATAATAGTAGTTCGATAGCAACGATCCGATACAGCTAGGCGGTAGTCTTCAACATCAGAATTCATTCCACCGGCGTTTTGGTAGAAGATCAAGACGTCCTGCTTGCGGCAAGGAATCGAACGACTGCTCTCCCTGGAAATCACAGATACATCAGGTAATAACTGACCATCATCAAGTCTCATTGGATACTCGCTATAGTGAGTGGGTTGGAAGACCCCCTCTCCACATCCGACAGCAGGTCCGAAACGACTATGATGAACGAAGGTTGCTGATGGCAGGACTGAGACGGAGGAATTGGTGGCTTCCATAGGGCTTTCTACGGCGCGTTCCGGGTTTCCATGATTGGGAGTTACAGAGGCATCATCACAATGACTAACATAGTCAGAATTGCTGAAATTTGAACAATGCCCAGGCTACGCCACCCAGCTGTGTCCATGTTTTAGCTGGTAGTCTTTTGTTACCATATGACTCGGGGAGGCGTGAAGTAGGAACTTGTGAGGACCAGGGCTAGGTATTCCGCTCCTTCCAGGTTGTCAACTCACCATTTTGTAGCCCATAATTCAAAACCCGTCCCATCTAAATGATAACCGTTTCTAATCCGGTTGGTATCAGCTGACAAGCAGGGCAGTCAAAATTCGAAGAGCGCGGGTCATGGCCGGGATTGGAGAAAAGCAGCCACACGTCGAGATAATTGTTGTAGAATTGTTGACAAAGTTTTATCGATGCAGTTTGATGTAATACGGGAAAGGTATCTTACCTATGCTATGCATCTAAACAGTCATCGACGAGCATTCCTTTTTTCATAAAAGTATATTTTATGTATGCCTGTTTCGATGACAGTACGATCGAATCAACTTTTTGCTAAACCATATGATAGGCTCGAAGATTGATTTTTGTCTACGAAAATCAAGCGTGATCTTGGGCATTGGTGAGATTTGATTTTTTGATATTTCCCCAACACTGGTCCTATGTAACATTGATAGATTCTCTTCGTCGACTGTCTCTTTGCATCCTCACGGCCATGTTAAGACAATCCCAACTATTTTCAGCACATAGATCGATGAAAGAAGCTAAAATCTAGCTTCTAGTACGACTGCATGAAACGGTTCGGTACTCAAGTTATTATCGAAAGAGAAAGTCAATGAAGAGAATCGATCTTTTGATATGTTCATCTAAATCTTTCTTGGAAATTCATCAATCTAATTTCCGTGACGATTTGTTTCAGTGCAGGTGTATGCATGATGATGTTGCGCAACAGCATTGAACTGCAACATCTCTTGGGAGGGGGTGAATTGTCGCAAGTGGGTGGTGGGATAGAGTGAAAGAGGTTAATAATATTGTGCAGTTATGAGAAGACTGGAATAACAACATGATTTTCAACATTCATTCATACTCATACTCATTTCTAATTTCCAGCTCGTTCACTGCATTGGGAAGCTCTATCGGCTGCCAGTGTCGGTGCAACACCTGCAAGAAACGGGCATCGGACGCACGGTGAATGGACTTCGCAAGTACGACGGCGAGGTGGGCGTTGCAGCCAAGGCACTGGTTAGCAAATGGAAGAACATGGTGGCGGCGGAAGAATCCGACACCGGCGAACCGGAACCGCAACATCAGGATCACGAGGAGGAGGACGAAGGTACGCAAAGGTGTCACTGATAGTTGTTTTGAGTTTGTTTTGCTTTCACGTTCGGGACCATTTTTACTTGAATAAAATGTGAGATTTCCTTTTTATATGCTTAAGTTTGAAATTGTGTGCTCGTGGAGAGTTGAAGCATTCCGAATTATCCTACCCAATTGCAGACAATTACGATGAGTCATGCCTTCAGGTAGACGAGGATCGACATAGTGACGATCACCATGAAGAGGAGGTTCAGGATGAAGAGGATGAGGACGAAGAAGAGCAGCACCAGCAGGATGAAGAATCTGACAACCAGGAGGAGATGCAGACCCCGCATCAGCAGCAGCAAGTAACGAATGGTCACGATAGTGACCATCGAAGCGCGCGAAGTTCCCATCGCGACTCAGACCGTCACCGTAGCAGCAGCAAGCATAAGAGCGATCGACATAGTCACCATAGCTCGTCAAGTTCCAAGGACGGTAGCCGATCCCGTGATCGTCACGAGAAGCATCGTGATGGGGAAAAGAATCAACATCACAGTAGTAGCAGCAGCAGTAGTAGTAGTAGCAAAGGTCATTCGTCGTCGCCATCGTCTTCTTCCTCTAAGAAGTCCTCTAGGCACGAGAATGAAGGGAAGGAGAAGAAGGATAAGCACAGCAGTAGGAAGGACTCTAGTCACGCAAATGGGAAGGAAAGCAGTCACAGTAGCAGTAAAGAGAAAGCTAGTTCCAGCGATAAGCATCACTCCAAGTCGAAGGAAAGTTTGAATGGGTTCACAAAGGAAGACGAAAGTCAAAAACGCAAAAGGAGGACGTCCGAGGATGAAGAGGAAAGTGTTATGAAGAAAGTTAAGGACGATCAATCCAGTGAGAGCAAAAGCAAGTCTAGAAGTAAGAGTAGTAGCAGTGGTAGCAATAGCAGTAAGGATAGGTCTAGTAGTAAATCATCCTCCAGTGGTGGTAGCAGCAAAGAGAAAGACAAGAACCGCTCCTCTGAGAAGAAAACGGAATCTTCGTCGAAGCGAAAGACTGATCCGCCTCCTGACAATTTCGATGACGAAGATGACGACACTAGCGGAGGAGCGAGCTTTGCCGATGCCTTAGCTATGATTGGAATGCCTTCGACGTCCAAGAAGAAAGGTTCCAGCAAAGGAAGCACGGATAAGGTTAAGACTTCTTCCAGCAGTATGCCCCCTCCACCGGTGAAGTCGAGCAGAAGCAGCAGTTCGAAGCGATCGGCATCGCCAAGTAGTACGGCCAGCAGCAGTGGATACAGTAGCTGTTCTTCGACTCCTTCTTTGCTGGTACAGAAACCAAAGCTGGGGCCACTGCAAATTGCCGAAATAGTCGAATCTTTACCCATGATCTCGCCCAATTACAAACCGATGCCTCTGAATCAGACCGTGATGGAGTGCGTCTTCTCGAACAACGGAAAACCTCAAAAGCGCCCGATGTCAGAGGAGGAAGCACTTGGACTCAGCATGCAATCCAAGAACCTCCGAACGAAGGTCTATTCCGGAGTCAAGAGCTACAATGGGGAGGTTCCGACGTTGTACAATCTGTGCATCCGGTTGCTGCAGGAACACATTGACCTCATCGACTACACGGGAGGTATTCCGTTTGACTTGTTAAAGCCCGTCCTGGAACGTGCCTCCCCCGATCAGCTCTTCACGCTGGAGAATTACAATTCCTACCTGATGGAGGACAGTGACGTTCTGTGGGAGCAGCACTGTAAGCGACTTTTCCGCAGCCAGAAACGAAAGGAAGAGGAATGCGAGTCCTGGCGGGAGATGTTTATCGTAAGTGTTGATTTGCCATATAGCTCAGCCGTATTAATTAACGACCTTTTTTTTTGCTCACCATTCCACAGCGCTGCTCGGAGGAACGGGAAACGAAACTGCTCAGCCTAACGGCCAATATTAAACAATCGCAGGTGGCGAAGGCGGCTCCTATCCGGAAGACACAGCTTGCCTATGTAGACTCGGCTGTGAAACCACCTCGCAGTGTAATCAGCAAACAGGCTCGCTATGGAACCGCTCAGGCACCGGTGGTCTCGCCGGCAGCTCGGGTAGCCGCCCTGAAAAACGCTACGTCCAACGTGGCCAAAGCTGGCGATTCACGACTCAAGGTAGCTGCCGGCATTCGGGATACTGCGCAAACTCAAGGTAAGCATCAAACTGTCGTTGTTCGGGAAAGACTCCGGATAACTCTTTATTTTTCCTACCACAGTTTTCCACCCGATGAAACCCAAAAAGGCACCCCTCATGTCGAAGGTCATGCAATCCATCAAGGGCTTCAAGGGTTTCCGTCGATAGGGGGATGTTCGGAAAAGCGTTTTTATAGCTAATCGAATGTTGTACAGTTTACCCGAGCAAGCGCCTCGCAGAGGACAGGATTGATGATAGAACTGTTACTACTCAACAAGATGTGAATGAAGTGTATATTTAAGAGTCGTATCGTACGGCAGATCACAATCCAAATTTTCTCCGATTGTTTTTACTATTTCGTAATTGAAATTATTTAACTTATTCGTTTGTATCTGATCGTAGTTCTTTTTATACATTAATTTTACTTTGCGAAATATGTTTTTTTAGCAACTAGAACAGTTTCTGCGGCCTGTCTTCGGGGACCGAGTACAACACATCTATTGTAAATAATTTGTCCCGTTTTGTTTACTCTGCTCCGTTGCTAGTAATTGTAAATCATGTTCGCACCTGAGCGTACGGTTATGGTTCAGGTAGGCTCCAATTTTTGTTTTTTGAAATAATACACGACTGTTACTACAGTCGTAAAAATAGACATACAGGTGTGTGGGTTTTATTTTGATTTTATTGAGAAAGTCACAGGTACCTAATACTCGGCTCAGTGCGGTTTCACCTATCGAAGAACGAAATCTACCTCTTTTCTTCTGTTGACTACCACAGCAACTATATGCGTTAGAATAATCTTCCCGAAGGGGGACGTATAGAATGGGTTCATCTTTCTAGGCAATTACGTGTTTGTCTGTGGAAAAGTGATCGTGCAGGCGTGTCAAAATGTAATTAAGGGATTTGTACCTAACGGAGATTCGAATGACGATTTTAGGATAGCAATTATGCCGGATGAGAGAAAGAGGGAGACTTTTTACTTAGTCAATCCGTTAATAGGGAAAGTTGCTTGTATAAAGGATAGCTGATTCATCATCACGTATCTTGTTGGAGCAGGATATCCATTCACCAGCGTTGCTCAATCATCGGGTCGAGACCCATCGGTGGGTCTCGGGCTGTCCATAGGTGAGTCGCAGGGCATCCGATTTTAAAATTTTACGGGCAACTGTTGTGAAATTAAAATCATGGTAAGATAAACAAAGCTGAGCTAAAATAAGAACCTCTTGATCGATGGAATGCACCGTCCACCGTGTTCTTCGGGGGTTTCCTGTGTATTTAATTTCTAACAACCAAGGTGGCTTCGACTCACTTCGCTACAATTTTCTTGTTTTCAGAATTATGAAATCATCCTAGATATTCCCCCCTATTCTGCGAGTCACGTGTCTCTCTCTCACCGGTGAGGTGACAATAGTCACCTCGTGTGAGGTGACTCCATTTGATTTGCATGGAGAGTCACCTCACACGAGGTGACAATTGTCACCGCACCGGTGAGAGAGAGTCACGTGACTCGCAGAATAAGGGAGACTGTGAAGCTACCATTTCGAAGCAATGTGATTCAACTAGGTGACTCGAAGCATCACGCTCTGCAAGGGTTTTCCTACCTCGAGAAGAAATTGAGCAAAGATGCGTAGGGTTAACTACCCCATTTCCGGCAAATTAAGCACAACTCGCACTTAGTATTTCTTAATCTAGCCCAGTTTAGCACCAAACGGAATGTTATTATTACTGATGGCTTCCAAATTTATTTACCTTAAGATTTGATAAAGAGAAACCAATCGTTGAGATATTTTGTCAAAAGTCTAACACTGTTTCTTGACGCCAAACTCGGGCTACGGATTCTAAACTCGGCCTAACGCATTGGAACGCCAATGAATTTACTTCGGTCTATCGGATGAAGGTAAAAATTGCTTCTGGCTTCTTTTGTTTTTGAGAAAAATTTGTGTAAACATTTATTTCACGCGCTCTCATTGATTTCGTTCGGTAGTTTTTGAACTAAAGCAGCGTACGAAACGCACAATTGACTTGTTAACTCTGAAACAATGGATTTCTCGATGAACATTTCAAATGGTCCTATCTGCTTTGATCGATTCTCTTCATCGACTTTCTCTTTTCATAACCACTGCTATGCAAACAGATTTCGCGCTAATTCTACCACATAGTTTGATAAAGGAGGTTCTTATCTAGCGTCCAAAACGTCAAATACAACAGGGAAAGGTTTTGCAGCTGAGTTATTAACGAAAGAGAAAGTCGATGAAGAGAATCGATCAAAGCAGATAGGACCATTTGAAATGTTCATCGAGATTTATTTGAAGTTTTCTGCTCGATAGGCCGAAAATGGGCGATTATGCCGAAGTAGTTCTCTACCTAGTTGGTGGTGGAAAGGGGGTCTTCCACCATGCTTGCATAGGCAAGTACCTCTGTCATTTAAGTTTATCGTTGCGTGATGAGTTCTCCCATACTCAGGTTATTCTGACCCCGGTCCAAAGCGAATTTTCGGTGATGCCCTCTGAAAATCTATTGAGGCAAATTACTTCTCAACCAGGACGCAACGTAGAAAGCATTTTTGGAGTCCCCAGTTCCTCTAAATCAGTCGCGCCTATTGCAGCCAGCGTTCATCCAAGTCGTCCTGGCCCTGAGTTTAGATGTGGATTGAGGGTCTCCCAGCCTGCTATATTAGGCAAGTACACACTTACTAGCGAACTTTCACTGCCTGATGATGATCATAATTCCAGTGCCTTCAACTCACCTCAAACATCTGCCAGTCGGCAACATGGAGCCACCACAGTCAACTGCACTCCGGGACGCATTCTTGCCGTCCGCCCTGAGGAAGCCCCTATTCCACTCATCGCAGTCGAGCCCCTCCTGCCAGTCGTCCCGGCCCTGCGTTTGAGATGGGAGAAGGGATCTTCCACATTCCTGTTATTGGCAACGGCCCTACTCGAACATCCTTCCTCCGTCAAGTGACATCTACCAGCTCCCAAATGCAACTACACGCTGAACCTTCCATTGTTCCCGAACAGCGGAGGTCGGACATAACGATTTACTATCAGAACGTTGGCGGTATGAACGGCCTCGTGGAAGATTATCATCTGGCCGTCATGGATCACTGCTACGACATTTTAGTTTTGGCCGAAACATGGCTCAATTATCGAACCATTTCAAACTATGTCTTTGGTGCTGGCTACGAAATATTTCGCTGCGATCGAAACACGAATAATAGTAGGAAAACTACTGGGGGAGGCGTCCTTATCGCAGTTAATTCCAAGCTGAAAGCAGAAGTTATCGAGGACGATTCCTGGAACAGGGTTGAACAAATGTGGGTGGCTATTCAACTTGGTGATCGTCAATTGCTTCTCTGTGCAGTGTACATTCCTCCAGATCGAACCCGTGACTTGGAGCTTATTGACTCCATGGACTCCAACCCATAGTGTTTTCTTCTGTCCTGATCACGAGCGTTCATCTTTCCACGTAGGAACCATCCAGCTACTGGACAGTTATAGTACCGCAATTCTGTCACAAATCAATGGCCTGTTGAATGAAAACAACCGCACCCTGGATCTCTGATTTGTGAGTGCTCGTGATACAGCTCCTTTCCTCGCCACGGCACCCGAAACTTTAGTCAAGGTAGTGCATCATCACCCTGCTTTAGTTATCGTGATCGAAAATAATATTGTCCATGATTTCACCAGCACTCCAAACGCTGTGTCATATGACTTCCGACCATTGCAGTATCGTCCATGTGCTGTCTAACCTAGATTGGGAGCATATTCTAGATCCTGTAGACGTCAACATTGCTGCACAAACCTTTTCTCACGTCTTGGCATATGTCATTGACAGACACGTTTCCAAAAAGATCATCCATATCGACTCTCGCGTCCCGTGGATGACGAAAGATCTTCGCTCGTTGAAAAGAACTAAGAAGGCTGCTCTCAGAAGATTTACTAAACTCCGCACACTGCCACTGAAATGCTACTATGTCAGACTCAACCACGAGTATAAGCGGTTAAGTCGTCTCTGTTTTCAACGCTATCAAAGGAGGATTCAACGGCGGCTAAAATCACACCCGAAATCCTTCTGGAACTTCGTAAATGAGCAACGCAGGGAAGTCGGCTTACCCTCTTCCATGATTTTTAATGGTGAAACTACTGGAAATCAACAAGACATTTGCAACCTGTTCTCAGCCAAATTTGCTAGTGTGTTTGAAGACGAGCAATTCTCCGCTAATCTCATTACTTCCGCGGCCAGTAATGTTCCTTTGATCAACCAAACGCTCAGCATGGTCGAAGCCACTACAGATACGATTTCTAGAGCAGCATCTAAACTTAAGACTTCAACTAAGGCTGGACCCGATGGTGTTCCGTCGATTATTCTTAAAAAGAACATCACTTGTCTTTTAGATCCACTGCGCCGCATATTCCAGCTCTCTCTTTCCAGCGGCATCTTTCCGTCTTGCTGGAAGACTGCGGATATGTTTCCTGTTCATAAAAAGGGAAGCAAACGCGACGTAAACAACTACCGGGGAATCACGTCACTGAGTGCTGTATCAAAACTTTTTGAATTGGTTGTCATAGAGTCCCTAAATGCGCATTGCAAGCAATATCTAAGTACAGATCAACACGGATTCATAACTGGGCGTTCCACAACTACGAACCTGCTGTGCCTAACGTCTTACATCACAGACAGTTTGATTGCTCGGACCCAAATGGACGTTATCTACACAGATCTTACGGCAGCCTTCGATAAGCTGAACCACGAAATTGCGATCGCTAAGCTTGATAGGCTAGGGATCGGTGGAAATCTTTTGAGATGGTTTCGTTCATACCTCACGGAGCGCCAATTGACAGTTACTTTGGGTACTTGTCGCTCAGCAAGCTTCTGCGCAAAGTCCGGTATACCTCAGGGCAGCCATCTGGGACCATTGGTATTTCTCCTCTACTTTGACGACGTTCACCATGTTATCACAGAGCCACGATTATCGTTTGCAGACGATCTGAAAGTTTTTCTGCGCATCCGCTCACTCGCCGACTGCCGTTCTCTCCAAAATCAGATTGACATCTTTGCTGACTGGTGTAGTCTAAACCGACTGGTGGTCAACCCAGCTTAGTGTACAGTTATTACTTTCTCACGCAAGAAACAACCGATTATTTTTAACTACAAACTACTAGGCACGACTAACGAACGGGTGCACTGCGTGAAAGACTTCGGCGTTTTTCTAGACTCAAAGCTGACATACTCACACCATATATCGTATGTCGTCGACAAAGCGTCCAGAACGTTTGGCTTTGTCTTCAAGATTACTAAGAACTTCACGGACATTTACTGCTTGAAATCGCTCTATTGCTCTCTCGTACGATCTACGTTGGAATACTGCTCTGCTGTCTGGAGCCCGAACTACAATAATGGGGCCGAGCGAATTGAATCTGTTCAACGACGTTCTCTTCGCTTCGCGCTCCGTAAGCTGCCTTGGAGATACCCACTTCGTCTTCCAAGCTACGAGAATCGCTGCCAATTGATCAATATCGAGCCCTTACGTATCCGAAGAGATGTTTTCAGAGCCTTAACCGTCGCCGATACTCTGCAAGGAAGAATCGACTGCGAAGCAATTCTGCAACAAGTGAACATTAATGTTCAACCTCGATCACTACGCAACAG